TAGAATAGAATAGAATAGAATAGAATAGAATAGAATAGAATAGAATACTTTTATTGGCCAAGTGTGATTGGACACACAAGGAATTTGTCTTGGTGTAAATACTCTCAGTATACATAAAGAAAAGGTACATTCATTAAGAATCAAGAATCATAACGTACAGCACTTAATGATAGTCATAGGGTACAATCAACAATCAAATCATACTAGGAAACAGTCAAGTGGGAGGGGAGGGGTGATAAGGAGTGGTGAGAAGATTAATAGTAATAGTAGTGCAGATTTTGTAAATAGTTGAACACTGTTGAGGGAATTATTTGTTTAGCAGAGTGATGGCTTTCAGGAAAAAACTATTCTTGTGTCTAGTTGTTCTGAAGTGCAGTGCTCTATAGCATCGTTTTGAGGGAAGGAGTTGAAACAGTTTATGTCCAGGATGTGAGAGGTCTGTAAATATTTTCACAGCCCTCTTTTTGACTCGTGCAGTATACAGTTCCTCGATTGAAGGCAGATGGGTAGTAATTGTTTGTTCAGCAGTCCTAATTATCCTCTGAAGTCTGTGTCTGTCCTGTTGGGTTGCAGAACCAAACCAGACAGTTATAGAGGTGCAGATGATAGACTCAATAATTCCTCTGTAGAACTGTATCAGCAGCTCCTTGGGCAATTTGAGTTTTCTGAGTTGGCGCAGAAAGAACATTCTTTGTTGTGGTTTTTAGACGATGTTTTTGGTGTTAGGTGTCCATTTTAGGTCTTGTGATATGATAGAACCTATAAATTTGAAGATCTCTACTGTTGATACTGTGTTGTCTAGTATTGTAAGAGGTGGTAGTACGGGAAGGTTTCTTCTAAAGTCTACCACCATTTCTACGGTTTTGAGTGTGTTTAGTTCCAGATTGTTCTTGTTACACCATGAGGCAAGTTGTATAACCTCCTGTCTGTACGCAGATTCATCGTTGTCTCGAATGAGACCAATCACTGTTGTGTCATCAGCAAACTTCAGAATTTTAACAGATGGATCATTTGAGATGCAGTCATTGGTATATAGGGAGAAGTGGAGATAGCACACAGCCTTGGGGGGGCCCCTGTGCTGATTGTACAGGTATCGGATGTGATTCCGCCTAGCTTCACCTGCTGCTTCCTGTCTGTTAGGAAGCTTATTGCTAGACTGTTCTTTAATTGAATAAGACTATGTTTTTATTCTGTACATAAATTCACTTACGACAGGGGACCAGCCAATTTATAAGTAGTCTTAGTATAATATGGGTGTGGTAGAAGGGAATTTTGTTTTCTATTTTTAGATCCCTTCCTTCCCTTCCCGTCCCGTCCCGTCCCGCCTCTTAGGGTATATTCAATAATAGACAAAACAATATAACATCCTTTCTAAAAGACAAAAATATAACCATGAGTGCATCATCCTGAATTTTCTCCTTGGAAGATTCCGCCGTTTTTGTTCCGATTTGCTTACTGGCTGAGCCTGTACCTTTTCTATAAAATGCACATGATGAGAAGCTGGTGTAGCGCCCGGTCTGACGCGTGGCAAACAGCAGCTTTGCTACAT